AAAAAATGGTCTGAAGCTCAACATCAAAAAAACTAAGATCATGGCCACTGATTCCATCACCTCCAGGTAAATAGAAGGGGAAGATATGGAGGCAGTGACATATTTCACTTTCTTGGTTCCATGATCACTGCAGATGGTGACAGCAGCCACGAAATTAAAAGACTCCTGCTTCTTGGGAGGAAAGCAATGACAAACGTAGGCAGCATCTTAAAAAGCAGAGACATCACCTTTCCAACAAAGGTCCTTATAGTCAAAGCTATGGTTTTTCCAGTAGCAATGTATGGAATTGAGAGCTGGACCATAAAGAATGCTAACCTCCGAAAAATGGATGCTTTTGAATTGTGGTGCTGGAGGAGACTTTTGAGTGTCCCCTGGACTGCAACCCTATCCATTTTGGAGGAAGTGAACCCTGAGTGCTCACTGGAAGGACAGATCCTGAAGCTGAGGCTCCAATACTTTAGCCATCTCATGAGAAGAGAAGACTCCCTGGAAAAGACCCTGATGTTGGGAAAGTGTGAGGGCAAGAGGAGAAGGGGACGACAAAGATGCTTGGACAGTGTCATCGAAACTGCCAACATGAATTTGACCAAACTCCAGGAGGCAGTGGAAGACAGGAGGGCCTGGCCTGCTCTGGTCCATAGGGTCACGAAGAGTCAGACACGACTTAACGACTAAACAACAACAAAAATTTTGGCAGACATATTAATGTAGAAGAGGTTTCCTCAAGGTAGAAAGTGTGGAAATGTTTGGTGTGTACAATTACTGACCTAAAATAACACTTAACAATTTAAAAAAAAATTAAAAACAAACATGTATTTCCTTAGTGCTGGACATTAGTACATCAGTATTAAGACTGAAAATACAAAATACTGAATACTGGTTTTATAGTGTTAAATAGAAAATGCAACAGTTGGTGAAATCATCCTTTATGATGCAACTTTTGGCAGATCATAGAAATGTTACATATGTTTGCACATTCAGAAATCACCTGAAAGCTTTATCTAATTGCTTATAATACATTGCTTTTGTATTATGTGTATATGTTATGAGAGCTGGTGTTATGTGACTAAGAACATGAGTTGCGTCGTCTCTGGTTCAAATCTCTTATCATTCTGATAAACTTTAGTGAGTCCATGGCTTTGTAAGTTACCTACTGCATTAGGGGCATAATGCTTTAAAGGTTTTTGGAAAGATTTTTCTTACAAAGATTCTGAATTACATGGTCTCTGCCTTATGTTAAATACATAAAGAACATAATGTGTCTTGGGGGTTTCTTTGCACTGAATCAAAAGGAACCTTAACAGTAAGTGTGCAGTTCTAGAAACATGACCAAAAATTGCATAGTTTATTAAATAAAAAGAAAACATACAGTAACTGTGTGAATTAGAAATTAGATAGTTCTTCCCCCATCCTAATTTATATTCGGTTTGTTTTATCTGTTTCTAGCCACAAGAAGCAGAAGCCTTTCTTTTGAGTCTTTCAGAAGAGATTCAATGTAGATTGGAAGCTGCAGGTATGAAAGGTAAACGATTAACTCTGAAAGTCATGATAAGAAAAGCTGGAGCTCCCATAGAACCCGCAAAATTTGGAGGCCATGGAATTTGTGACACTGTTGCCAGGTAAACAGTTTGCCAAATGAATTTGCTGATAAATGTGTACCTCGATTTGTACAGTCATAAGATCTTGGTTTTAATTGCACAGTATTATGTACTAAATGTAGATTTTTTGTGTTTTGTGTTACATGCTCTAATAATAATTGATAAACTACTAAATGTTAAGATGGTATATTAGTTTGTTTCTGTTTGCATAGTAGCATGACAGATATTTTAGAAGTCCCCTTAATTGCAGGTTTTGGAGGAAGTAGTAGATAGAAACCACCTATTCTGCAAATGTACTTTTCCTAGAGTAGCTGGCAAAAACAAAAGAAAAATAAGGAAGACAAAAATGTGACACCTTGAAGACAAACTGCTGTATTTTAATGTGAGCTCTCATAGATAAGTCTACTTTCCTAGATTATATACATCATCAAAACGTGTAATGCATAAATGTTATAATTGAAGCAAACAATATGGTTCTCCTGGTTGTTGTGGGTTTTTCAGGCTCTTTGGCCGTGTTCTGAAGGTTGTTCTTCCTAACGTTTCACCAGTCTCTGTGGCCGGCGTCTTCAGAGGACAGCAACCCAGAGCACAGGTTGTTGTCCTCTGAAGATGCTGGCCACAGAGACCGGCGAAACGTTAGGAAGAATAACCTTCAGAACACGGCCAAAGAGCCCGAAAAACCCAGAACAACCATTAGATCCCAGCCGTGAAAGCCTTCGCGAATAGTCTGGTTCTCCATGGCAAATACAAAGCATTGCTTTACCTTGTTTTTTTGCTGTCAAATTCAGCAGAACAGCTATCCTATTCCAAATTAAGATATAAGGCTAGGACCTGACCAACAGATCTTTACCCATTGAACTAAATACTGTTCACAGCAATGTATAATGTTCTACAAGCAGCAGAGTAAAGCTCCTGGTTTTGGTGACCAGATGAAACTGTCCAAAGCGTGGAACTGTCAAGGTAGTCATAATAGCCTTGCATGCACAAAATAGGACAATTTTTAAAACAGAGAAAGGAAACAGAAAATCCTGTCTTTAGTGACAGACAAGTATAGTGCTTTGAACTTACCTAGAGGGTACAGAGATTAAGCAAGTTACAGCATTGACAAATTTGAAATAAAAGAAATTAATTCAAAGGAGAACTTACTGTAAATAGTTTCTGCTGAATGTAAACTGATTAGTGGCTATGTTTGCAAAAAAAACCCTGCTCTATATGAATGTATCTGATCAGACAAGCCAAAAAAATCTTACTGCTTAAAGAGTAAGCCTTAGCAGCCTTCTGTGTGACTTGGTGAATAGAAGTAACCTTATACAGAATACCTTTTCCCCGGCAGCAAAAAGGAACAGATATATTGTGGAAAGTCGGGAGACTCACTCTTATCTGTCCTGCTATAAACTGTACTGAAGTACAGTAATTCAATGGCCAGATATGGTGTGTGTTGGAAGAGGGAGGGAGAGATTAGATTTCAAGTCTGAACTACAGTTTAACAAAAATTTGTTATGTTGATTTCTATAGTTTATATCCAGCATAGGCCTTCTGTGGATTGAAGGCCTCTTCCATCCACAAAAGGCTTCTGATCCATTGGAGTGCTTATGCTGCCAGAATGGAGTAGCAGGCAGTTTTCAGTAATTCCTTCTTTTGTTTTCATCTCCTCTGTTCCTGGAATTCTGCTCCATAAGAAGAGGAGCCCTGTGAAGGCAGAATTGGCAAATGAAGGCAGAATTGGCAAAAATTGCATCCCTTCCCCTGCCACTTGGGAATTCCTGTCAGCAGGCCCTCCTGTCAGTGAAATAAAATGCTGCATCTAACCCTATATTGGCAATTCTTATTTAACAATGTACTTGATATCTGTCAAAACTCCAAAACTTTTTCTGTTAGTAGGTGTTAAAACTATCAATGCCAGCTGCTTTCAGAATATACAAAAATGCTGTGTCATAAATTCACAGTATGAGTTAGTCACAGTATGAATTAGTCATTGGCTGTATGGTCACTGCCAATAGTCTATGTGGTGATCAGCAGATGATTATTGTATTTCCACGATCATTAGGACATTTGGACAGGTAAGGAAGAGGAGGATATTCTACATACATTTTATGTGCCAGATTCCAATAAACTGCTTTTTCTTGGGAAAACCACCTGTGAGACAATTTTCAACAGAGAAGCCATTTTTCTTTCCATTCTTCTGCTCACTTTTCTTTGTGGCTACTCCCACAGTCATGTCTCATATACCTAACAGGGTTCCAGATATACTTGGACATATTTGTAGTATTTCATTTCTTGTTTGTAGGGGATTTAGCTTGCAGGAAGAGTTGTAATTGTCATATAGTAAGTAGGCAAAGAAGATATACTGAAAATTACTCTTTTCCTTAAAAAAAGATCAGGGATTTAAAAATATTTATTTCTATTATATGACTGCCATCATGCTGTTAGCAATACTAAAATTATGATCCTAAGAATGGAAATAATCATTCTAGGGCAAATTTAATCCAATATCCCTTTTCCCATAATGGCCTGCCAGATTCCTGCAGAATACCAACAAGCTGGACACGAAGGCAATAGCCTCTCATGCTATTGTTCCCTAGCAACTCCAAAAGGGCAAACTTCCTTGGATCACAGAGATATCATAAGATGACTATGATCAGTAATCATTCATCAAGATCTTGATACATTTTAACATGAGTGTTCTTTACAGGACTGTGACTCTCAACGATGCAACAGATAGTGCCAAAGTGATTGGGAAAGAGACACTGAATATGTTTCACACAATGAAATTAAACATTTCTGATATGAGAGGGGTAAGATTTTAAGTATTTGGATTACAAAGATCATTTGGTGTTTTTTTCTCTGTTCTCCAAAAGTATCTGCTTTGTTAAGTTTTAGATTGTTGTTAAGGTTTAGAATCCAAGCAATGTACTAAAATGATGAACTTCTGCTGTTGAAAGGAGATGAGGTAGGACCAATTGTTGGATTTGCTAGCAGCCCAAGAATGTACTTCCAAAAAGTTAGGGCTAAAGGAAAGAAGCTGATGAAAGATGCCAATTTGTGTATTTTTTAAAAAAATTAGTGCAATGATTATGTACTATGAAAGTTGCTACAATATGTTTTGTATACTAAAACAAGACTTAACAACAACAACAAAATATTTAACTTACAAAGCCCTGGTGTGGAAGTAGCTAAAAATATTTAAACATTTTAAAATGATTTGCGGGTATGGAAACCCCCGGAGGTACTGGCAGCCACTCAAAACATGGGAAAATAGTCTCCCTGCCCCCCCCCCGCCACCTGCACAAGGAAACTTTTGGGGGGTGGGAGAATGGGAGTCCTGAGAATGCAAAATTGCCATAAGGCAGCTCCATGTTGCCCTATGTCTTTAAAATGGTTTGTTCAGAAGTAAGATAGCCTTCTTGTTTTTCAGGTTGGAATTCAAGTGAACCAATTAATTCCAGTCAATAAAACAACGTTAGCAGTTCCTTCTCACTCATTGTTGCAGTCTGGATCCTTGCCCGGTGGATCTAATTCTATTACTGATTTTTTACAAGCTCCAAAAATTATGAAGAATTTAGAGCAAGATCACAAGAAAGGTCCGTGATAGCTTTTGAAGTGTTTTGAGTGTGTGAAATTGTTTTAAAATTCTTCTTGGAAAATAATTTTTTTTTTTACTACAAAGTACTTTGTTTTGAGTTAATAACTTTAAATTGTGGTATAAAATTTAGTAAAACAAGAGTGGTCAGATTAGATTAATAGTATAAGTGTGGTACTCTGCAGTTACTGATGCTTTTTATTTTTTGTTTGTTTTTGCATTGACAGTATTTGTGGCTCCTGTGGATGTCAAAATATCTACCACATCGAAAGCACATACAACACTGCCATCTCTAACATCTAATGTCAGCCATGTTACCAGCAAATCTTCGTCTGAAGTTAATTTGAATGGTTTGCACCCACCTACGGTTATAAAATCCAAACTTAATATAAGTATTGAGGTACCTCCACCTTCCCAGGTAAAGCTTTTCTTTCTTCTTCTTTTTTTAAAATGTAAAAATAGAACTGAGAGATTTTCTTTCTTTCTTTCTTAATTCAAGAAATTGACAGATAAAATTTAAGGTATTTTTTTTTATTTTGGTGTCTTCCCTCCCCAGCCATGCCAGTTTATGTGATACTTTCCCCCAGTCTTTGGAATGATTCAGTTGAATATGTTGTTACGTTTAAGCAGTAGGGCTGTCAGAAATGGGGAAAAACAGAATAGGAGAATTTAGACACTGGGTTTCATTTCATAGATTAGATATCCAGACTCATATTCAGATCAGTGAAATAAATGATGCTTAAATTGGTCAAGATTAACGTGTTACGTTTATTTTATTGTGTCTGCTCTGAATTATAACTGGAACTGCATGCAAACCATGGCTGAATGATGAGACTGGGAGCTTAATTCCAAAAATCCCATCCCATCCCATACTTGCCTGAATTGGAACAAGATGTTTTGTGCCTCAGATACTCTTGAGCCGGATCTAACAGTTCCACAGTCCACTCTACTTCCTTTTTAGGAAGTAATGCAACCTCTTTGCAAGAAAATTCAGCTATCTAGTTTGAGACATCTGTCTTGATTTCTTAGAGCTTTAGTTTCTGTGCTTTCAGTCACTGTGTTATTCAGATCTACTTATCTTTCAGCCACCCCTCACCCCCATCTCCACCGCCGGGAGGAGGGCCGCCGGGAACACCTGGGCTTTGCCCTGCCTCCCGGCTCTCCCACAGCCACCCCTCACCCCCGTCTCAAGCCCCCGCCGCTGAGCTAGGCGAAAATGCCGGCGGTGGCGGTGGCTTCCGAAGGACCGTGGGGGAAGAAGAAGCCTCCACCACTCAGCTGGGCGAAAATGCCAGCTGTGGTGGCGGCTTTTGAAGGACCGT